ATGGTGCCATGTTGAAAGCGTATACATAATTTTCACTATACAAGAGAAAACACCTGTGCCGAACAATTGCTTGAGTGTCTGCCATGATACTTTCTGAAGTGACTAAAATTAGTTTAGTGTTTACCAGTCATCTCGGCCTCATAACGGAATTGTCTTTTTAAACTTTTATTGCTATTTTTATCTTGTACGTTATTTTCTTTCTTACTTTCTTCTTACATTTTGTGCAATGTCTTTAAAAATTTGATCATATGGAGGATTTACTTTTTGTATTCTTTATACCTAAAATGTTTGGCTCTTTATATGATTGTATACGATATTATTTCAAAGAGATCAATGCTTTTTTTTCATTAGTTATTGTTTTTTCAAGTCGATTTCTCAGTTTTTTCTTTCACGTACTAACGGAAGATATTCGATATTTATTTCTTTTACGTCCTAAGTATTTTTTTTCAAACTTATCTCATAACAACTTGAGAATTATTTCTATATTTATTTCTAGGCAATTGCAAAAGCTTCATCTGCTTTGACGAATTCATATTTTATATTTGTTTTCGTCATATATTTTTTTCAATCTTTACTACTGAGAAAAAAATATAACATTTTTTTTATCCGCTACTGTTTAATATCAGCATTCTTAATATAACATAATTTATTGCTATTTCTGCTCTCGAGATTCCCATTTCTTTTCTCGCTTTTTTACTCTTTATTTCTATATATATATATATATATATATATATATATATATATATATATATATATATATGTGTGTGATTTATTATAATTTTTATATTTACAAAGTGTGAATTCGATCTGAAAATCAGTTTAATATACCAAACTAACTAAGCTTATCACCCGGAATATTACACAACAGAATTACACCAGAAAGAGGACAAGAACAGTGTAGTTTCGTTAAACAGAAGAAGAAATGCAGTGTTTACTATACAATGTTTACTTTAAAATGCCAACTTAAGAGCAGGTCATATGCCATTGGTTCATAGACTAAACTTAACTATTTTAAACTACTAGATTTTCCTTTGATAATTTAAAACTGAAAGTTCTATTTCAACTGTTAGAGAAAAATTATTTACTTGTGAAATTTTTAAGATAAGTTCAGAATTTGTATTGGGATCGATCCGCCAACAGACGGATATGAAATGAAGTTGCTACATAACATATATATATATAACATATATATATATATATATATATATATATATATATATATATATATATATATATATATATATATATATATATATATATATATATATATATATATATATATATATATATATATATATATATCTTCTCACGGGGTTTTACTTAAAATTTACGAGGGGTGGACTAAAGAACATAGAAATCCTCGCATAATGTATTACTATTGGAGACAATCGAAACAGGTGATAATGTGTTATTTGAAGACACAGTAAGAAAACTGCAGTAAGTTCCAGGAAAAGGCAGCTAAGAAAAAGCGAAAAAAAAAAAAAAAGAACGAAACATGAATTATAAGAATGTTTCATTGTTGGCAAGAGAAACAAACTTCCGGTTTGAACTACGAATTACGGACGTCAGAATAAGCTGGAAAGTCGTTTAACAGATGATAAAAAATATGTCACCGGAATTTCAAGAGTCATTGGATTGAGATAGTTGCTTTCCAAATGCTAAATTATTATGAAATAGGAATATTACATTTGACCAAAAGAAAGTGTTCAATTCCAATGTAATATAAATCCTGCTATATAGTAGTGAATCCTGAATGTTTCCTCACAAATGAGATGGATACATAATGTAGATGTGCCTGGACATTTTGAAACTTGATATATTGAAAGCGAGAGAGAGAGAGAGAGATAGATAGAGAGAGAGATAGAAACAGCCGAAATATCTACCTCACGATAGTTTGTAAATATATTGCAGGAGAGAGTGAGGTAATGTCAGTAAAATATAAAAATAAAACGCACAAAAGGACAGCTTAATAAGTGAATCAGAAATTGGATATATCAAAAATCAATCAACTACAATATATTAAATGACTGTGAATTGATTTAACACAGGACGGAAAGTGCGATAGGGAAATCCGAAGGCGCAATTTGATAGCGAAAGATGCCTTCCAAAATATAAGCAAAATATTAAGAAAAGAAAATTTCTTTAGAAACAAAAACAGAGTATTGAAACGTTACGCAATATCCGTACTTCTATATGTTGGTTGATGCTGGGTACTATCCTTACAGATGAAGAAGACGACTGAAGAAATAAGATTGTGGATCTATAGAAGAATGATATGAATACCACGGACCTTACGAGAGAACAACGACGAAGGTGTAGAGTAAATGGCGATAAAAAAGAACACTTATACTTAACATTGGTAGGAGACAATTTTAATATCTAGGCCACACGAAGCGGAAAGAGGTTTTGGAAAATATCATAGTCACATGACTAATTAAAGTCAAGAAAGACATTTGAAAACAACGCGAAACCTACCAAGCGAGATGGATGGCTGGAGAATGTTTAGGAGATTTAGCAAAAATACAAAATGAATTAACAGTTAAAAATCACAAGAAATTGTGAAGAACCTTAAGCGTCAATGCCCTGAAGGGACATGTCATGTAGAGGAGCAGGAGGGTGGATTAATAATAATAATAATAATAATAATAATAATGATATAGTAATATCGATAAGTATACTAATAATAGTAATTATGTTAATAATAGTAATAATAATAACAGTAATACAAGGTATCCAAAAAAAGTCCTGTCCGTTTTTTGATTAGTCATTGAATGAAGTTGAAATATATACGAAATGCGTGTAGCAATTGTTTTCAAATTCGGACATCCGGAAGTAGCAACATCAGACGTATGTTCTGTTCTAATACTTTCTTTTCTCACACTTGTCACATAAATAAATATCTTACGGTTTATTGTTTTCCTGTCACCTCCCGTCAAAATTTAAATGTAAAGTCTATCACAAATCTTCTATGATGTTACCTATAAGGCTATTCTTGTTCTTCAAAAATCCACTACTGCAAAAATTACATTATTGTCATATTCAGCTGATCGGAATTTCGAACTGAAACATTTATTTCTTCGGCCTTGGTAGATTATTCTAGTTCCACGTGTCATGCCTCTTTCGGATCTCTCAGTTATCTCACTTTAACATAACTCTCAATTTTGTATGTTCTGTTCTAATACTTTCTTTTCTCACACTTGTCACATGAATAAATATCTTAGGTTTATTGTTTTCCTGTCACCTTCCGTCAAAAATTTAAATTCAAAGTCTATCACAAATTTTCTACCTTCATAAATGGTGTTATTTATTTTTTTCTTTCTCCTCAGTAATTTTCTCACATTCTCTTTCACTGAAAGTAAGCTCTTTTGTCTAAGGGACATTACTGCCTTCTATAGGGTGAAATTAAAGAAGAACTACAATGTCACATTCGAAACTTGTAGTGAAACATACAAATATTTTCGAAGAGATGGTATCAGTTTTGAAGAATATATTTTTATTAAATATAGAGACTAAATATTGAAGATCATAGTGATTTCAAATATAATTTAACAGTTTATCTAAATGTTATATAAATGTGTATAAAGGTGTTCTTGCTTCACATCTAATAGCCTAATCAGTCCTCAAAATTGTTCCATTGTAATGTAATTGATAGTAAATTATTATATATATATTCAGTAGCAAAATGAACTTGAATAATATGGTCGATTTCGCATTAATAATAATTTTCTGTATAGTTAGATCATTAATCATATAAAAGGGGCGCTCATACTCATTCGAATTTGACATTGCTAAGGATACTGTAAGAAAACTTACATTGTCAATTTTCAGCTATGACATAGTATATGATATTACCTATAAGGCTATTCTTGTTCTTCAAAAATCCGCTAATGCAAAAATTACTTTATTGTCATATTCAGATTTTCGGACGTTGTAAGCTCCGGCCTTCCTCAGCTGATCGGAATTTCGAACTGAAACATTTATTTCTTCGACCTTGGTCGATTATTCTAGTTCCACGAGCCATGCTTCTTTCGGATCTCTCAGTTATATCACTTTAACATAACTCTCATTTTTTTTTTTTTTGTTGTTCGGAGCGTTGGTTGGATCGAGTGACTAGACCCAAATTTTTTTGAATTCTGGCTACTGCAATTGTAAACAAAAGATTGGAGAGCTGAGTTAAACTGATATGTTTCCTCAGGAGGCTGTCCCTCACAACGCAAGACCGCCTCTGCACCCACGCAAGATTATGCTTTGTGTATAGTGGATAGGTCGTCAAGTGGTTCATTATGAACTGCTACCAACGGGTCACTGGAGACCTATACTCGCAGCAATTGAAACGTGTGCAACAGGCATTGCGCCGGAAGGAGTCAGCACTGGTGAATCGCAAAGGTGTGCTTTTCCTCCATGACAACGCCAGGCCGCATGTCGCGCGAGTGGTCAGGGATACCATACAGCAACATGGGTGGGAGACTTTGTGCCATCCACCTTATTACCCTGACCTTGCGCCATCCGATTACCACTTCTTCCACTCCCTGGATAAACATCTTCGTGGGAAATCCTTCACCAATGAAGCAGACTTACGCAAAGCTCTCACAGACTTCTTTGCGTCCCCCCACCCGAGTTCTACCGCAAGGGCATTGAACAGCTGGAGACACGTTGGCAGAAGGTGCTGGTTGCCGATGGCGATTACTTCGAAGACTAAATATAAGTTACACATACTGTGAAGCGTTTTCTTTTTTTCGTTTAAAAACGGACAGAATTTTTGGTTACCTTTTAATATGAGTAATACTAATAAAATATTATTATGATTATTATTATTATTATTAGTAGTAGTAGTAGTATTTATAATAATAATAATAATAATAATAATAATAATAATAATTATTATGATCGCCATTATCCTGTCGGGAACGGCTCATAAAATTAAGCGAATAGTTCCATGTAAGTTTGCTTTCTTTGTCGTTCGTTATCAACCGCTTTTTTTCTCTTTCCTCCTCACTAAGTTATCATTCTTTTTTCACAGACTTTCTTTTACAATTCTTTTGTCAATATTTCTCTTTAATTCTTTTTTTTTCTTTTTTCCCTTTCATTTTACAATATCACATTTTAATTTCCTTTTTTTTCACCTTTATCATGTGGCTGATATTTTATTTCTTTCTCTTTCACTCTATTTTTATTCTTCCATTCCTTAAAATGTCTCACAATTTCCTTTGTCTTTCTCCTTCAGTAAATTTTCATGTTCAGCTTTTCTTTTTAATTCACATTCTTTTTGGCGATTTTGCGTTCCTTTCCTCGTCATATTTTTCACCGCTTCTAATAAAGAATGAAATAAGCCGAAATAGTATAAATTAGCAACACACCAATAATTATAAAAAAGAAAAAAGGCCATAACAGAAAATTTCTACAAACAATAACAAAACGCAGTAAAAATTACAAACACCACAAACAAGATGCTAATAACAAAATATTTGAATTCATTTTTAGCTCTCTTCATGTTTCATTTCTATGAGCATTGCTTTTTATCAGTCTGTCCACAAAGTAGTTGCCATGTTCCTCCATATTCGCTATTGTCTGATAACCTAATGATCCAAGCAGTTTTCCCCATTAAGCATTTTTATTTCCATATGAATCTTCCCGCCATTAAATTTGAGCCGACTGCAAAACCCCTTCCAAAGTGTTATCTCCCTTCCCATCATCCCATTCCATCAAAGACTACATCCGCTGGGTGATTTCAATTTATCAGATCTTTTCGTTTTATTTTCTTCACTAATATTTTACTGTATTTTTTATTCAATTTACACAGGGTTTTTTTTTTCCCAGCAGATTTCTCTCATCTTTGCGGGTTGGTTATATTGGCTTTATAAAAAAAACGTTCAAATAAGTTTGTTCAAATTATTGTTCATATTTTTTTTAATTCATTTGCCTTTTAATTTGTTAAGATTAAACACTGATTGCATCTTCTAAACGGCCAAGGAAGCAACAGGCCAGCATGTTCACTAATGGCCGTTAGTAAAATTTCAAACGTTTATAATGAAGCAAATTGTGTGTTTTTACTGAGAAAATCACTTAATTTTTTTATTTGTCATATTTCTATATTTCTATTTCAACCTTATTCGATCCTTAGAAAACAGTCAATGGATTGAATTACAGTTATCACGCGATTTCCAGAGTTTGGTTTCTGAGAATTTTACATTAAATTAGAAGAAATGCAATTGAATTGATCATAAGAGAAAGCCGTACTTGTGCAAATCAGGAGTTTAAGGATTTTAGAAGATAAAAATAAGATCGGTGAAAAAATGAAACAGACACCTGTTTTTTTTTTTATATCTTGATTAGAATTGTTCCATTATGAGAATATATATTCAAATAAAATTCATGGATAATATATAGATAATTATTATGTTGTGAAACAAATTCTGTATTATTTAAAGAAGAAACAAATGTAATGTGAAATATTTAATGATATCATACGAGTAGTTTCATCGATTAGGAATGCACGTAGAAGGATATATGCGTGATGATAAACTCACCCTCAATTTCGTCATATGAGAACACGACAATCTCATTCAGTTTTTATGTTTGCTTCGTATGTGAAACTTAGCGATCTTTACAGTAAAAGATTCTCACGATATACTCACAGGAATATTTTCTGACGCTTTTTGCCGCTGTCTTTCTCCAATCTTAGACGGTCAATATGACATATTTCGAAATGTCTTATAGAACTCTGCCTTAAATATCTCCATATATTTCTATACAGTGGGAATCATTCGAAGTTAGTATTAAAAATTTTGACAGACGAGAGGTTGGTCTTTTTCTTGCTTTTATACATGAGCCACGGATGTCGAACTGTACTTTGTACACGGTCAAGGTGTCTATACATGAGCACGTAAGCTATTCAGTCATTATTCATCTTTGTCACATAAACAGCCTAGTTAAGTGGTGACTGCGTCAGAAAAGTCCCTCTCGACTAAGTTTGTATTGTGCGTGATAAGCATCGGACACGCTATCGTCAAGTATATATATATATATATATATATATATATATATATATAATATATATATATATATATCTATATATATATATATATATATATATATATATATATATATATATATATATATATATATATATATATATAATATATATATACGAATGGTATAAAATGAATATGTTATAAAAATCACTACAAAAAGATATTATGTTTCAATAAATTTTGTGTTGAATATAGAAAAAAGTTTATTTACACGGTTCAAATCGACCAACACCCCAGCATAGAGCAAAAGCTGTCACATAAGCTACGATGACAAATCAAATTTAAAAGATATAAATATTCAAAAAACATGACAACGAACCTTCCTTATAATTAATAATACATTAATGTTAGGGTTAAACAGAAATATATATATATATATATATATATATATATATATATATATATATATATATATATATATATATATATATTCCTATAAGAGGAACGCAGGTAAAAAGGCTGGATGTATCAAAGGAACACATGAATTTGTCACTCAAAAGCGTAATTTAGGCCTTTTATATATATATATATATATATATATATATATATATATATATATATATATATATATATATATATATAGTGGGGGATATAAATATTCGTTCCCTTGAAAAATTGTTTTTTTATAAATATAAAAGCCATAAATAAAATAAATCTCGGCACATTTTATGTATAAAGACACATACTATTAAAAATAATAATAAACTTAATTCTTATTCTAAAAGAAATTAATGCGTTTTTTAAATTCTGTGAAAAAAGTATTCGTACAAATCCATTATTAGAATAAAATAATCAATTAATTAAGAAAAAATATATTCCAGAATGTTCCATTAATGTTATCAGTAATTATAGTTAACGCTATTAGCCATTATCAGAGCATTCTGAAATTTCATTCTTACGAGAAGGTTCAAATAATGCCTAAAGGTAAAGAATTGACTATTTCACAAAAACATCATATGTTTTCTCTTTGGAAAGATGGGAACAGTTACAGAACTATTTCTAAAAACCTGAATATTCCTTTTATTACAATTGCTTCGTTCATTGCAAGGTTTAAAATTCGTAACAGCGTCGAAAACCAAAGACGAACAGGTGCTCCGGGGAAGATTTCTCTAAGATCCGCAAGGATATTAGGACGCCAGATCCAACAAAATCCACAGGTTACCCGAGAAGAGCTGCAGTAACATCTGCGTGCATTAGGAATTAAAGTAACCAAGCGTAGAATAAGTAATGAACTACACAAAAACAGTCTGAAATCACGCATCCAGACTTGAACCCAATCGAGAATTTATGGCGATATTTGAAAACTCAAATTCGGAAAAGAGCACCAAGAAATATCAAGCAATTGAAGGCAAAATGCCAAGAAGAATGGGACAGAATACCATTCGATATGTGGAAATCATTAGTTGAGCGGTACATGAATAAACTGGTAGCTGTTGAACTCTATAAAGGATATTCCCCAAAGTATTAAATTAGCCTAATATGCTTTTTTTTTTGCTTTGTACTAATACTTTTTTCATGACTTATAATGAAAATTGCATTAATTTCTGTTAGAATAAGAATTAATTAAGTTTATTACTGATTTTTAATAAAATGTGTCTTTACACATAAAATGTATAAACATTTGTTTTAGTTAAGGCTTTTTACATTTATAAAATACAATTTTCAAGTTTACGAATATTTATTTCCCCAGTGTAAATATATATATATATATATATATATATATATATATATATATATATATATATATATATATATATGTGTATATATATGTATATGTGTGTGTGTGTGTGTGTGTGTGTGTGATATTTAAATACTGAGAGTTCGTCTAAAATATTTTTTTTTTGATAAATAGGCTGGGCGCCATATAAGCTTTTTGGGTTTCTAATTTGTTTCAACAGGTAAAAAATATTTTTCTATATCAATTAGAAACTTTAGATTTCCCGGCAAAATCAGGAGGTTAGGATTTTTTTTTACATCGCACCAAATGTAATCGTACAACACCCTCTCCGGTCTTCCAAGATTCAAAACACCAGTTGCTTTATGAAGGTAGCTTCGATTTCAAACCTGACGTAACCCACGTTACGATTTAAGGCCGCCAAGATCGAATCGTCTGAGGTATTTTTTTCCTGTACGTCATCGGACTGCTTGGACCCGCCCGGCACAAAGATGTCTGCGATAATTTGATCTTGGCCTCCTTGCGATCTTCAAATATTCAATTGTAATGTCAATCGGCATAATCTGATGCCTTGATCTTGATCCCCGCCCTAGTCTTTATGTTTTCCTCAAACACCCCTCTTTACTTTTGCTGTCACTCTCTGTAACCCCTTGCGTATTAGTGTCACTACGGTCTAACTTGGGGAGATATGCTTAAAAATATATGAAAAATAATAATTTATTCCTTTAGTATAAAGCATTAATTTTCGAAATCGCCTGAAGATTACAATGATCGACAAGCTCATGATGATGGGCGAAATGCTTTGACAACAACCAAAAATATGGGGACGATGTTTCGCATTTAAATAATGATAACTTCTCCTTCAAGTAATCAGACAGAAAATAGAAAGCTATTTTACAGAAGTGATGCGAGATATAAACACTTATATAGTTAAATCATTGTAAATTTTATTTTATAATTGAAGTTCATCGAATATATATTAAGATATTATTTAAGAGAATTCACGAAATATACTTTCAATCCTCCAGTGACCATCAGCCAAATGGGATTTTTTTTTGTGAAATATATAATTATCTCCGTCATTTTCTCTACACTGCCATGCTGAATGAATTTATCTTACACGTGACAGATTTCGCAATTTCCAAATCTAAGCATAACGAACAGTTAAAGAAAGTGAGCAGAATCAAATGTTACATTGACGGTCAGTCTTTTTTCAGTAAAGAATTGTTCGGATAGAAACAAATGTTAATTCTCAATCTTGTGAAAATCTCACACAAAATCATGTGAAAAATTCAATAATTTCGTGTGAAACGTTTACACATAGACTTAAGTTGCATCAAGTCGATTCCACAGTAACTTCCCGAGTATTATTCAGCTTCAAATATATTGAATATATTAAAAATAAAGTTGTCTGGAATTACTAGTATATCTATCTATCTATCTATCTATCTATCTATCTATCTATCTATGTGTGTATGTGGGGGAATCAATATCCTGTATAATTGTTTCAAATTTAGATGAATTACATTTTCAATGCGTTCAAGCCAGAGTGGAGCCCGAGGAAATGACTTGTCATATATTACCTATCTTAATTTAATATAGAAACTCTTGCGGTAGACACACTAAGTATATTTATTCTCACTATATTAATATATCATCTTATCTGTGCGAGTTGCTTTCAGCAAAATACCGTATATACCTTCCGCAGATGCGGATAGATATTTGAAACAAACATATTTACAGTCTATTCTCTTTTCGTAATGAAGTTTTTATGACGCTCCAGTGAAAAAAAAAAAAGAAAACTAACTTCCTAGGCTAATGTGATATAATATTACTTTAGCAGTTAAGTGAATATGTCTAATACATTCCTGCTATACTGTATACTGGTGTAAACTTTCTATCCTTAATATTTCTCGTTGACTTGTACGTCTATAGGGAGTGGCCTAAAGTGGAACAAATATCAATCTTAAAATGGCTGGAGAAATAGTCGAATTATTCTACTTCTTCAGGAAGTAAATAGATTTTCCTACGACGCTCTACTTTTACAAGTGTTAGATCAGATAAAAAGAGAGCATTGCTTACATATCTGGACAAAAGCCTCTAAATCCTCACTTTCAAGCTTTAACTGAGTTCAAAAGCAATTACAAGGCCTTTTGATTGATATATTATTTTACACCCTATAACCAACTGCCCACAGACGAAATGTTTCAAGCTTATCGCTATTTACCTTAGTTTGTGCGGTTTAGACATAAACATCTACAGTCCGCCATACTACACATAAGGGGTCGACCATCATTAATCTTTTTGGAATCCATTTTTAAGAGGCGAATCCATTTGAAAAGCTTCTTACCAAGAATCGCTCTATCTTGGAACAGAAATCTGAAACGATGTTTTACCGATCACTATATTCATTACGTGTATTAAATCTAGGAACTTCGGTTATGGACTTCAAAAATGCTAAACAAGTAACCATCTACATGGTGCGGTAATTTGATTTTGTTTTGGATCAAAAACAACCATATGAAAAAAGCAATCAAGATATAATACATGTCAAAATTTATGTCAGCAAAATGAGAAATTTTAGCGTCGGCCTACATAAATATATAATCATTCATTATTATACTGATATCGAAGTGTTTATTCTAATCTGTTTCCATTTTCACAGTCACTCGTCAGAAAGATTCCATATAGTAATACACAAATTGATATGCAGAAAGCTGAAACCAAACTTTAAAAAACAGGTACGTTTACGTATCACAAATTAACTTACACTTCATATATATATATATATATATATATATATATATATATATATATATATATATATATATATATATCGTGAAACAACATATTATATATATGTGTGTGTGTGTCTGTGTGTATGTGATCAACAGACATACTTTTTTTTATACACACACACACACACACATATATATATATATGTATGTATATGTATATACATATATATATATATATATATATATATATATATATTTTTAAAGATACAATTTTCATCAGATATGATAAAGTGTCTATAAAACTTTACACTTGGTTTTACTTGGAAATCAATTAGAATAATTATAATCGATATATATATATATATATATATATATATATATATATATATATATATATATATATGTGTGTGTGTGTGTGTGTGTGTGTGTGTTGTCTGTTTAAGGATCATTAAACGTTTGTGGATTTTAAAACTTAAATAAATTTTGTGATTGTAAGAATAATTAATTTTTTGTATGAACATTGCATTAACGATTTTAATTATAAAAATTATTTTTCCAGATACTTGTCCTACTATATAATCCATTGGTGGAGCAGGTGAATTCATACCTTTCCCAAAAGAATTGACGTGTAAGTGAAAGAAAGAAACCTGACTGGAATTTAAACGCAGCAGTCATATTTCGTATTCCACACGCTACCCTTTACACCACTCTCACATATCGATGTATACTACATTTTATCTTAATGTTTTATTTTATGAAAATGAAAATAGATTAATTTTAGATTATTTACACTATTTACATTGTTCGGACTGTTGTCATCATCTTCATTGCAGTCTTCACAACGTTTCGGCCTTTGTACGATCCGCCCGAATTTCGAACTGAACTCTTTGTTTCATCAGCCGAGGTACCGCACCGTTTCATATGCCATTTCCGATGGCTCAGTATCAGTTATCTCCCTTTTACCTCAACTTTCCTAGTTTTTGTTAGTATTGGACTAAGTTCTATTTAATACAAGTTACTGGATTCATCCAACGTTTTTGCTCACTGGGCCATATGGCCTTGTGTGAGGCGGAAATCTACAACGACCGTAACATGAATATGTTAATGAAGTTCAGGACTACAGTCAAAATAATGTAAATAATGTAAATAATGCAAATACTTACAATACCTCATCTTAAAATTATAGAAAGTTATTAATTTTAGAGTTTTGAAAACTTATTCACAATTTATTTAGCTTTATTTCATCTGTAGCTTTGTAAAAACATCAGCTTTCAGTCGCGTTGGATATCATGTAATAGCATTTCTGCAAAGTTTTCTGTCTAATATTAAGTTACAATTGTTAATAGTTTTGTTCTCTTGTATTTTTTGGTCAATCGGGTTAAATGCTTTCGGGTTTCTGTACTGTGGAAATATACTTTTTCAGTTTTTTATGTAAGATATACAACACGCTAAAATTTCAGCCGCAAATTTCTGTGAGATTTTCGGTTCTGTTATTCTCAGCAAACAGAAAACTACTCTGTATATGTTTATTCTTTTTAGATGCCGCGAGACATATGATTTACCATAACATAAGCATTTAAAGCCATTGACATTATCAACAAAAATAATCACGTTAGGAAGCTGCCTGCTACGTTTCTTCATAGATTCAATATTTTAACTGTGGTTTTCGTTATTTTCGTTTTTACTCGATTATATCTTTTTTCTTCTTTTTCTAAACACATTACTTTTTTTCTGTTTCTGTAGAAAGGTCCAACATCGAATTTTCTTTCGTCTAATCTGCCATCATTTAAATCATTTAGGTTGACTCTAAACAATGGACGAAGAAAAATCGATGTTCCTAATAATGCTAAAGCGATAAAAAGGCTTTTCAAGGGGCGATAAATCCGCATTCATTTAAAGAGACTTGGCTCGATTTATCCTTTAAGTGCTGGATATAAAACAGCCATTTGTAGAGTATTTAGAAAAAATTGTCACAAGAGTCTAAAGGATTATCTTTTTAAATCTATTTTCCTTTCAGTGGTTCATTTTCCACATCTATTGATCAACCGAAAGCCAACATCTAAGTGACGTTGACGTATTAAGTGTTATTTATTTCTTTTAAAATGAAGACCCACATTGAAAATAAATGTATATCTGCGTCTATATTTCGGACCACGGAAAGTGTGGAAAAAATCATTTTCTGTTGCACCCTAGTTGATCGATAGTACACAATATTTACATAGATTGTATTATGTTAATGAATAGTCTAATAAACAGAAATTAGTGTACGAGTGTTCAGCTGCTCAAATCAAGACATACATACGTTAAAAACTGCTATTCAACTGCTATTTTGACTAGAACTTGTTCCCTGGCTATTTACATCTGTACTAAATAATAGTTTATATTGTTACAAGACGACCTCATTAGTATTACGGAAAGTTATTTTGAATTCAATGGACAGGAAAATGATTTTACTGCTTCCCAGATATCATATACATATACTATTTTACTATGACTGAGCTGATTTGTATCACAATTATTCTCATTCCGCCAAAAATCACTTGTTATAAATGATGTGTTCTACTTATTTACTACAGATTAGTTACTGCTCGTCTCATTTCAGCGATTTCAAGTACAAACTGCCCGGCGCAGACTTTTGCATAGTTTCTCACCAATTTTCTAAACATTTACATTAAAAATTAAAAACTTATAACTAGAATATATATTCAGCGATTTAAGTGTCCATGGAATAGTTTACAAATGTCTACTCTCACTACCACATGGTTAATTGATGATTACAAGATTTATAAAGTTTAGTGTGGACTAACTTGTTTGGATTGTGATTGTTTTGGGGTGATGGAACAATTGTTAGGTAACCACATGCATTAATGATGGTTCTCTAACGGATGGGGTTACATCCATGTGACATGAACTGCTTTGTCTGTTTAAATTCGTCAATGATGAGTAGCATCTACATTTCATTGATTTGTGGCAATATGCATATATTAATGTATTACATGGAGCCCCAAATGATGGGTAATTCAAGCAGGATGATACAAAGTTATCGGGACAAACTTCCTGAAAAAAACGTTACAATGAATTCTGATGATTTATGGGACACGACACAAGTCCAATCCATAATTCATGGGACACTCCCAAGAGGGCTATTTGCAAGATCGCAAGATCAATATATATATATATATATATATATATATATATATATATATATATATATATATATATATATATATGACGATACTATAGCAAACTATGGAGATGATATTCCAAAACAACTCTCCAGTATGGTTTCGAACATTTCTGACATTGTTACCATGCTGTGTTCTTTTTCCATATATAGAAATATGTGTTTCTCTGTTCGTGTGTATATGTATTGCAATATACAAAGGCTAGCTCAGAATTGTCACAAGGTATATATAAAATAATGATGAGACTAAATTGGAAATGCAATCTTCAGATCCTTAGATCACATTATGGTCAATATCTAGACAAAATTGTGATAGGATGAGTCCTACACAATTCGCCATATTCGGATATATATATATATATATATATATATATATATATATATATATATATATATATATATTCAACGACAAAATTATTAGTACACGTTTAATTTTGAATATGTATATCCATTTCTCAGAGTCTAGTGCTTGTACGATACCAAGTTTTTATATGTTCATAAGCAGAAAGAATTGAATATTATACTCATTTTATACTCGGCAAATTATTCAAAATAGTAAAAGACAAAATTATTCGTACAG